ACATGCACCTAACACAGTGGTTTCCAGCCATGCTTAATACCAGGCTTTTCCCAGTGAAAATGCAGAAGTTTCAGGGTTTCCCTGATAAGTTTTAACACCTCTTCTGATTCTAAAAAATTATAAAACAGGGGAAAATAATAGAAAATTAAAAACCCATATGCTTAAAAGGAGGAAAAAAGGAACTGCATAAACAGCAGTGTCTTCTTAACACTAAGGGGGTGTTCAGTGGCCTTCCTGGGAAGGTGTCATTTGGTGTTCTGAGTAATTCAGATGAGCAATGTCTTCCCTTGCATTTTTGTGACTATCTGGCCCTTGCACTTTCATTTTGACCTTGCAGGTAACCACACAGATTTTCTACTGGGGGGTTCCATAGCTGACTCATGGACTGGCCCTGCTCTGTGGGGCAGGTTCTGAAGAGTCTCAGCTTTCATTCCACTGTTATTTTTCTAACACGAATAGTGGCTCCTTCAGGAGATATGCTGCCATATTTCTTGTACATCTGGAACAAATGCTCCAATTACCAAATTTTGAGAAACAAAAATAAGTTACAAGCAGGCAAGAGATTTACAGCTAATGAAATACTCTGTATCTCGAAGCAAACGGAATGAAAAGAGGGAAGTTGGGGCAATACTGAATTTTGAAAAGACAAACATGTTGAATCAGATGGCCTTTATCTCTCTCAGAAATCTTACTGCCTTCCTCTCCTTGGCACTTCCTTCAAATACCCTTCCAACACCCTGAGGCACAACATGGGACAAAGACCTCCAATGAAAAAAACACACGAAGCAGCAGCACAAGTCCTGTAATCACAGTAATCACAGTAATGAAAAGCAGTTTTTCTGGTGTCTGTCGAGCAGTGGCTGCTGCTCTGAAGAGTTCCCTGAGACAGAGACCATCTGAACATCCCAGATAACAGTTTAAATGCCTACATGGATATGCAAGGCAAGGAGAGGAGACGACATGTACTTACTTTGGAAATCACTGAGTACATCTGCAATCTTCCAGACCTTTCTGGAGGTTTACTGATCTCCTGGAAGGTGTTTTCTGGGTGTGCAAGGACTTTTATTTATGCTCTCCAGAGCTGGGAACTGTGAGATGAGTGAAATCTGCTTCAACTTCACAGTTACATCTGTAGAAATAATTCCATAGGAGTTACCCCTTTTAACTTAGCCTGGATTTAATTTTTTTGAAAAGTGAACAATAACACTGTGTTATTAAATGATTTTGACCCTGAATCTTCTGTGAAGGAAGGGATGTGTGTGTTGTACTCTGCATATATAAGCACAGCACTTCAGTTTACCAAGCTCTAGATATTTATAGTGTAATTGATTCGGTTTTTTTATTTCACATTAAGTTTAGAATAAAGATATCTTTCAAAGTCTTTTTATTTATGCCTCTCATCCTGGTTTGTGTATAGAGCTTGGTTCAAGGCTAGTTGGAAGCTAAAAAGCGTGTTGCAAATGCATTTGCACAGATGCCATTGTCTCATTCTATTTGTTCTCTTTAAAGGTATTTATATGGCAACATATCAGCACCTCAGTTCATCCAAAATTAGCCAGGAGAGGGAGAATCCAGGGAAGTGATGGTACATGTCAGTTCTGGCACTTTCTTAACTGTGATACCTCTGTAAAGTTTGTTTGCAATAATTTCATTTTATTACATTTAAGTGCTTAGTTTTCCAAAGCAAATGTAGTGAACTGAGGGATTTGGCAACTGTAACTACCAAGGTCACTTTTGGGAAGATGTGATTCAGTCCTGATTAAAGACAGATCTGAGGGGGGAAAAGGGAAGATCAGCTACTGAAGCCCAAGATATTTTCTGCATATCCTCAGAACTGTGTATTGCTTATTCTAGGGGAAGAATTCAAGTATTACTTCTATTAATCTGTCACAGAATTATTTCTCATCAAGAAAACTCATATGATTTGTGCAACCTTAAGTAAATGTAGAAAGGTTATTGCTTTATATACCACCTGTTAAAACCAATATACATCATTAAAAACCAAAGTAATGGTGTTTGCTGTTACTGTGCACTGTGGATAGAAGGAAAATGGGACAGACAGGACGAGGTGTGGGTAAATCCCTGATGTTTGTACCTCCAGTGAAGCACCTCACAGTGGCACTGTAAAGGGGATAAATATTACTGAGGAACTTAAAGCCCCAAGAAAGAAAAGGGACCATGTTGAGAGGTCAAGTATGTTGGATGCTCCCCTGAGCTGCATTCAGTGATGAACAATGAGGCCGTAATGAGGACGAGAAAATATCTACTCAGACTTTTTATGCATCATTAGTCAAGCCAGTGGGTATTATGGTTGAACTAAAATAAAAATCAAGGAAAACAAACTAATTTTGGATCAGCCCACATTTTTTTCATTTTCTCCCCAGCAAAACAATAAACTGAAAAGAGGGTTGACCAGAAACAAAACATTTTGTCTTCAGTTTGTGTTGTCCCTCTTTATTTTAGTTCGTTAAATCTGAGAGGGAACATTGATAGTTTTGTTCCAAAAATGCTGTAATGAAACCCTGAGTCTTTCCCAAATATATTTGCTTTCTGAATGTTTTTTTTCGGAAATCATTTATTAAATTTGACCCAATTTCATAAATATTTTTATTCTCCCTTCGTGATGTGTTGAACTCATTAATCACATTCCTCGTTGCCAGTATTTTGTTTCCCAGAAACAAAGACCACTCATATTGTCTCCTTTTATCCTCTTCATTGAAATGCAGGATGCCTCATCACCAAAATACTTGAGTGCTTTCCATATTAAAAAATGCCCTCCACAAAACCTCTTCCTTTTCCTTTTTCTCCTTGTGGAGCACAAACGTGAAATCTGTGTAGTTAAAGACAGGAATACAGTGATATAGTGAAAAAAGGGGAGGGTGAAGGGATGGTTCTTGGATGTGATCCCAAAGAAGGTGAGGTATTTGCCCATCCTTTCTGAGGTTCTTCCTTCAGTGAGCAAGGGGGGAGTGCAGCTGGTGTAATCCCTCAAAGACAGACGAGTTACTCTGAGGAAGCACCAACCTGACACCGAGTTTGTGTTCCAGCTCCAAACTCCTGAATGAAAAAGGGAGGGAATGCAGGTGGTATTCAGTGGTCCAGGCTCTCCAGTACTGAGAGCTGAGGTCTGCTGAGTGTAGCAGCAATTTAATTTTTTCCCAGGACACACATATGTGTGTTTTGCTCCTTGGTATAGTGAGCTGCAGTAATTAAAGTAACAAATCCAAGGCAGCCCATACAGAGTTGCACAGTTCAATGTTCAGTTTTTCTGGCTGATCCCAGATAGGAGGATGAGAAGCATTGTAAAGCCAAGGATAATTTGGACAGCTGCTCTCTATAAAGTCAACAAGATCATTATAAGTCTACTATTAGTTTGACAATGGAAAGCCACACGTCCCACATGGGGACAGAAAGAAAAAAAAAAAAGCCAGTTCATTTATTTTGTGAAGCTTTTTCCCTCTTTTCAGACAAATGATCTCAAACTTGCTCAGACTGAGCTTCAGTTAATTGTTTTGCCATCCTGGGCAGTCCTGAAGGGGACTCTGCTGAATTCAGAGTGAAGAGGATGCCTTGCTTTGCTTCTGAGGAGGTTCCATGCAGATACTGGATCAGCCAGAGCACAGGAACAGTTGGCTGGGCTGGTGCAGGGAGTGCTGGACATGGAGCAAGGCTCCTGTGTCCACTCTGACTCACACACATATCTCAGCACAGTTCCCATGTAAATGAACTCAGAAGTGTAATGTTTAGTTGCTAATTACATTTAGAGTCCTTTGGGGAACCCACCAAGATCTCTCTGAATGTACAGTTCCAGGCAGTGAACAGCCAGAATTAATCCATTGGTTTGCTCTAACAGGGGACCCAGAAAGAACAATTACTCACACTGCTGTGATTGCCCTTCCTCAAGGTTAAATTCTCCATACAGATTCTGTTGTTCTTCACATGAGATGATTTTCCTTTGAAGAGCAGTGAAAGCTGTTACAGGAGCTATCCACTTATTTATTTTTCTAAATTAACAATACTGCTTTTGGTTAATGATAATGATTCTTTTTTTCATTAGTGGCATCTTTATCCTTCATAAACCACATATTAAAGAAAAAACCCTAAAAAATTAAAGACCAAAAAATAAAACTTGGGAGAGCCTTTGAAGGTTTCTTTATCATAACTGATTTCCCAGCATTGACTTTTCATGGCAGATGTATGTAACAAAAACTGTTAGTTCTAAAAACCCTCCCTACCTTCTAATGCTGAATTCCTACTACCATTACATCATTTTTCTTAAAGACTGGATCTGAATCTCACTTGGTGCAGTTTAACCCCCTGACTTGCTGCCAACTGGTTGTGTTTGGGTTTTCCTGGGCACTCTCCCCCTACTGAGGCTTTGCCAGCACTGAGGTAGCACAAAGATTTCTCCAGTTGTACAGCCCATGTTCTACAACAGCAGGATGCTGTTCATTCACATTCTGTGTGCAATCCCAACACAGCCCTTGGTGCAGAAATGTTCCTTGCACTGACATTCCCCAGCACAGGCTGATGGAAGTCATTCCTCCCATGTAAGGATCCTGCCTTTATGCCTTTTGGGTGGTTGGGTTCTTTTATCGATGCACTTACAAATTTTGTGAATTTACTCAAATTTTGCCTTCTTAAAAATACAAATTTTTGTAGGTTGGAAGTAGCAAAGTGGATGTACAGTATTGCAAATAAGATCTTTGCTGTAAAATACTGTAATCAATTCTCTGTTCAAGGTAGTTCCAAGACACAAAGAAGACCGAGGAAGTTTACAGGGACATAATGCATGTGTGGATTCAGGAGAATCACTAACAATGCAGCAAAAGATGCTTTATTTAGCTCTTTCAAGCAAGAGGTAGCTGAGGAATGTAACAGTAATTGTCTCATTTTCCAACCAGATTTTCAAAGAAATTGTGCCTTCGTTAATGATCTCAGGCTCTCTCTTGTTTCTTCACCCTGGGGCTGTTGAAGGGCCCAGATCAGATTTGAGCAGGTGTTTATGTCTCTCCTGATGTTTTCAGAAGGGGCAGTGGCTTTGCTGTCCAAATACCACTGGGGCTCTGATTCCTCTCCTGTACTGTCAGCTCTACTCAAGGGAATTCTTTTTAATATATTTTTGGTTTTTTCCTTTAGGTCGAGAGGATTGTAGACAAAAGGAAGAACAAGAAGGGCAAATGGGAATATCTCATCAGGTGGAAAGGTTATGGAAGCAATGAAGACACCTGGGAACCTGAACATCATCTACTGCATTGTGAGGAATTTATTGATGAGTTCAACAGACTCCACGTGACCAGAGAAAAGAGATCCAGGCACGGGAAACAGCCCAGCACGGCCAAACTGCTGCGGGAGAGCCGAGGGTCGTCTGTCGAGAAAATATCCCACAGACCTTCTGAATCTGGCAAGTCTAAAGGATCAACACACAAAAGGAAGAGGATTAATCCATCCCATCAAAAACAGAAACGAGGATACGCAGCGAAGCCAGGCTCTGCCAATGACAGGGCTGCTAAAACCGTGACTTACCGAACTACCCCCAGCGGGCTGCAGATCATGCCGCTGAAAAAGCCACACAATGGGCTGCAGAATGGAGATGGCAGCCACGAGAAGGATTCTAGACATTTTGGGAATGGCTCCCAGCAGCAAAACGCGGATTTAAATGATCACGACGGGGAACCGAATTTGCCCGGCGTGTTGGACGTCGGTCCCGACCCCCCCGTGGTGAATGGAATTGGTATGTGACCCAAAGCCCTCGGCTCTGGGGGAGGGGGTGCTCGTGGCACCAGCAGAGCCCACTGGTGGAAACACTGTTGGCATACAGGGGATATGGTGAGGAGCACACAAACAAGCTCCACACTCTTTCCCTGTGTATTAGACGTGTTTTTTATCAGCTGGCTTCTCCCTTTCCTTCTCCCACGGAGTGACACGAAGCAGTGTGGGCTCTGTTATGTGCCTTTGCAGTGTAAATCCCTGTGGGGAAGTGAGGACAGGGCATGGAGCAGGAATGACAAGGGAGGGATATATAAGGCTGCAGCTTGGGGTTTGTGTATCACCAAGTACCAAATAGTTCCTCAGGTGTGCTAAAAAATCAGAATTGTTTTAGAAACAGAGTTAATACCACTCTGGCTAAAGTGTCCTAGTAAGTATGGCTGAGTAAGATCCAAGTTCTCAGTATTACTGCTGGTCATATTCAGGAGTCCTCAGAGCAGCCAGGTCCTTGTCTCTGGCAGTGACTGGGCACACCAGAAGTCGCAAGACAGACTTTACAGGAAGGTACAAACAGCCTTGAAGTGAACCAGAAGAAATGGGAGGAATTTCTTTCTAATCCTCATAGTAACTGACTGGTTTAGCTCTCAAAGAATAAGGTTTATGTTCTCTATAAATACTACTCAGCTCAATGCAAATGAAGTCACTTCTCATTATCTGTATGTGTCCAATCTTTTTGGTTTGTTTCTTTTTAATCCCACCAAATTTAAAGCCTCAGTGGTGTTTTGTGACAGTAATTTCCAGGAGTTAACAATGAGATGCACATTTTATTTGATCAGATTTTGGTGTTTGGGGTCTTGTTGGGGTTTTTTTGACCTTTACTTTCATTGAATAGCCTCTTGTCCTTCTCTGAAGGGACAGAGTGGAGGACACCCCGTCAATCAGTTGGCAGCCCAGGTCTTTTCCTCCTTCCTACCTGGAAGTCTTTCCAGATTCCTGGTAGTTTTGAGTATCCTCTCGTGCCTTCGGTGTGTGGGGGTTTTTTTAATACCTTTTAAAAACAGCAGGAGCTGTTCCAAATGATTTCCTACTGCTTACTGATACAGTGACGATGGAACCTTTGGAGAATTATTTTTTCTGCTGCTCCACACTGCATAAAGGTTTTCATTGAGTGATCCAGAGTTGCTCTTGGGGTTTTTTTAACTTGCTTGTTACAGTTAATTTAGAACACAGCTATATGTATGATCCCTTTCATTATGCATTTAATCTGCTTTACTGTTGCCAGTTCACCTTTTTCTTATGACTCAGTGAAGCTCTTCAAAATCTTTCCTAGTTTTCACTCTACTTATTCCGTATTGCCTTCAAATTTTCCTTTCATACTTCTCTTCCCAATTCATTAATACACACATTAAATAAACTAATCCTCCTGCACATCCTTGGGACAGCCAACTACTAATCACTTGACATGAGGAAAAGTAACCATTTGTTCCAATTATTTATTTTTATTAGCCACTCTCTACAGCCCATGATAGCACTCATTTCCTTAACAGCTTCTTGGGAATTGCCCTGCCAAAAACTTTCCAGAAGTCAACATAAATTATATCTCCCCATTTCCCACCCTACTGGCAACCTGGCAAATGCTCCTTGATTAGGGAAGTAGAACTGACCTTGCCTAGTCTTACTGGCTATATCCAGTAGCTGCTGGGATCTTTCAATCCAGGCATCAACTATGCTGTCAAAAGACTCCCAAACCAGCAAAATGTGTGGTCAGCTTTAAATGCATAAACACCCCTGGTGATGTCAGTGAAATATAAAGTTGAAGCACTTAAAAGTGTATCTTGGCTTTTGTATTGTGGGGAGTTTGAGCTCATGTTAGATAGCTTAACAAGTTACTGCTTCTCTGAGATGACTTGCATATCTAATTACAGATGTGTATAAAGTTGTTTTCCTTGGTTTTCTTACTGTTTCTAATGAAGTTTTTTTTTGATCATTTGGTTTATGTTATCCATGGAGAAGTTCTGATGCAAAATGCATCTTTAAAATTCACTCCTTCCATATTTTAGAATGTTGGTTTTTTTCATGAAGAACTAAAGAGTCACAATGACCTGTAAGGTCACAGGAGCCTTTGTCCCCAGAAGAGCTAAGGAATGGCCCCCACCAGCCCTGATTGAATAATCCCTGTCAGAGAGCTCTATTGCAGTGGAAAGCTGCTCTGCCTGAGCAGCCAGGTGTTCTGCTGGGTACAGAGGGCTCCTGGCCCAGCAGCTGATGTCTGCAGCTCCTTTCAGACATTTCTTTGGGATGGTTTTTGCATTCTCCAAATCCAGCACTTGTGTTCTGTAGGCAAATGTAAATGATTCTTTAAATCTCTGCCTGGTTTTCCCCTGAAAAGCCCACACTCAGCAGCACTGGCAAGGTCAGAAATCCTCAGTCCTGCTGTGTGATCCCAGCACAGGTAGAGTGGGGAAAACTCCAGAGGGGAGAGGAGACTGCCAAAGTCAGAGCAGACAGAAACTGGGGAAGAAGGGTCAAAATCAAATTACCAGCTTTTTTCCTAATACTGCCCTACAAGGTTGAGAGAAGCCACATTTCCTGATACAGGGGTTTGTATCATTTGAAATGTCAAGTGGAAGAAACTTGCACTGCTCTTCACCAAGTGCAACAATTTCCTTACTCCCTCAGCATTCCCACTCCCGTGGAAGGTGCCACTGTGATTCTGCCTCCTGTCCCATCATTATCACAGACTCCCTTTCATTGGGGTTAATGCCACACCAACGCTGGGCTGAAATTTTACAAATCACAAATGAAAAAAGCCTCAGAGAAAAAAATGCCAATTTGTTGAACAACAGAAATTTTGTTCCAAACATCTTGGGTTTCAAAACTTTCTCCAAATCTGAGCCAAGGTCCCAGGGCCGTGTCCCTCGGGAGCGGGAGCAGTGTGGCAGCCTGCTTGGCAGGACTCCCACGTTGAGCCTGGAGGCAGCCAGCTCTGCCAGAGGTTTCAGGCAGTCTGCCACAGAGTCTGGAAGTTGAAAGCCTGGCATGCTCCATCCACACTCACAGGGCTCCCAGGCACTAGATGTGGAACAAAGAGGGAGCCTGGAGGACCTGGTTTGGCTCCCAGAAGCTGTGGCTGCCGGGCAGCCCCGCTCAGAATCGGATGAAGCAGACATTTGTGTCAGCTTTGAGACTGCCTGTATGGAAACCAAATGAGTGTCAGGCTCATTTCACAGCAAACTGTAAAACTGCACAGAAAACATGTATAGAAATTTTAGGTTTGTCTTGGAAAACTCAGGAATTCCCCACAATTTGAAAGCCCAGCTGTGGGCCCAGCTCTGCTGCCAGTGTGGGCTTATGGTTGAAGGTCTCCAAAATCCACCAACTTGAACTAGTTATAATAATAATAATGTTTAACCACCAGTGTATTGAACCAGGCAATATAGATAGTAATTTCTAATCTAGAAGTAATCAAATAATGGCTGTGTTGTCTGTCTGACCCTGCCAGTTGTGTTGAAACAAATAACAGCTATTTGAAAACCTTCTTTTGGTGACTCCTTGAATGAGCTTCCACCAGACTGCTCAGTCTTGTGTGTACATCCACTTGGCTACAAGTGGTTCCTCTTTACCCTATAGACAGAATTCCCAGCAGGCAGCTCCTTGCCCCAGAAGGGTGACTGTGTCCCTGCAGGTGTGTGCACAAAAGGATTGATGCCCCCAGTGCAGGCCTGGAACCTTCCTGAAGTTGGGATCTTACCCAGACCTGTCTCCTGCCTTCTACACATCCTGCCATAAGGAGAGCAGAGTCATCTTTACTGACAGTTATTTAATGGTCTACAAATTGGAAAATGTTGAAGCATCCACTGATGCTCCCAGGAGCTAACAATACTGTTCTTTCTGATGATATTTGTTGTCTTCTGTTATCACTTTTCTGTTTCTCTCCAGATATTGTAATTGAGAGTGATTGTTTTGTCAAGTTTCTTGACAGCATCAAAAAACATCCCCTTTTAATTTTCTCTTTCCTTTTTCTACATTGCTCTATTTCTGTACCATCTGCTGAAGAATTTTTGCCTGTCATGTATCACTAACTACTGTTTTTCTCCATTACAAAAAATCTTTGTGCCCTTCATTTAAATACTCTCTGTGACTTAGTCACTGCTTCCTCTTGTTTTTTTAACTTACTCTGTTTTATTTATTCTGAAAGAATACTGGCAGTAAAAGACAAGCAAACATTCTTGCTCTCTCCATTTGGATGAAAACTCATTGCTTTTAGATATCTTACAGATGCTCCTTTAGCTGGAGAAGTCTGAAATTATTAGTAAATTATCAACAGAACACAACTTTTAAGTATGTACAGTATTAACCATTACCCACAAGAAAGACAGAAAAGAGACAGAGAAAGGCTCTTGGGAAGGCTGAGGAATGCCAAGCTGCTTTTCCAGGGAGAGTGGTTTATTTCACCTGGAAAAATTAAAGCCCCAGCTCCATCATCCTCTTCCACTGAGCACAAAAGTGTGGTGCTGATAAAACAACGGTCCAGCTCTCCTTCCCGTGGCATCCTGACCGTTATTCCCATCCCTTTCTCTGCACCAGTTGTAGCCCTTTTGGGGCTCCAAGGTGAGCCTGATCTGGTTGAAAATTAACCACAGTTTTGCAGGGTGAGGTTTCAGTCAGGGCAGATCAGCAGGCCAGCTGCTGTGTGGGGTGGTGGCACAGAGACTGCACCTCAAACTGGCTGGGATGGAACACTCAGAAAAGAAGTGTCTGAAAATATTAGAGGAAAACAGAGAGGACACAGCAGCTTGAGGTGTCCTCTCCTCATGGGCAGGAGCAGTGAAGGGGGGGTGGAGTCCCAGGTCCCCTAAAGCACCGAGGATCATTGTGACCTTTTCTCTCTTTCCTCTCCCACTCTTTGTAGACTTTTTAGACTGTAAATTTCTGATGTGTTTGCAGCATTGCCTGGTGTAATGGAGCCCCAGGCTCAGAGCCTTTGGCAGTGGTGGAGCACTGTGGAAGATGCAGGGATGGGCAGCTAAAATGAAGAGGATTGCAGGACTAAAAGAGCCTTCAGTCAGGAGAGGGGCAGCGGAGCGGGAGCACGATCAAAGTTTACAAACCATCAAGGCCTCAGATCCAGTAAATGCAGAACTGCTGCTCGGGAAAGCCCTCGATAGCAGAGCGAGGGACCACTCGCTGGAGCTGGTGGAACAGCAGATAAAAGCAGAGATGAAAGCAAATTCTTCTCTGTGTAGTGGCTGCACAACTTCTCAAACTCATACCACAGGAAGCTGTGGAGCCAGAGAGCTCAAAGGGGATTAGAGAAACACATGAAAAGGTCCACAAGCAAATACTGAAGAAACAGGAAGGATGAATCCTCTCATGTCCCTGTACATCACTTAAGGATGATGCTATGGGAATGGACTGCAGAAAGTGCCCAAGCTTGCATTTTCTCCTTAAATAGCATCCTTTACTGCCATTCTTGGAGAAGGATTACTGCACCCACCAGAGGTCTGGGAATATCTTAGGTTCCCTTAAAAGAATATTGAAACTTCTTATAAATATCAGTGTTGGTTTGGGTATTCCACAAGTTCTACTGCTGATTACAAGGTAATAATTAGATTAAACTCTGACTAAAGGAAGGAATATTTTCTCCCATTCTGTTTTCTTTTAGTACTTAGACTGAGCATCAAATACTCACTACTAAGCCAGTAAACCACACTTTGAGCACCCAAAGCTTCCTTGGTTGTCTTTAGATTGTGCTGATAGTTGTCCCCAGTTTATCAGATTAAACAAGATTACAGAGTTGCACTGTAGACACAGAAACAACAATTTGCTCACTATGTATTGTTCTGTTAATCATCCACTCTAAGAAATGACAGTTTTCCATTTATGTTTCTCTCATATTTAATTCAGATCTTTCCTCTGGTTAGATTTCTTTTAGCTGGCGTGCAGATAGTTAGAATACCATGATAAGATCTATAGTTTACATCACATATTCATTTACAAACAGAATACATAAAGAAGAATAAAACAAAATATTAAAATAATTACTGTGAGGCTTTTTGTTGAGCTGGATTATGTGTGTGAATTAATCTTCTACTATTCTCTTACTATCTGTATTTAAAATAGATGTGGCATAATCTTCCACACTAGAGAGATAATCAGTATAGTTAGTCTGACACACCTTCCATTCAATGGGCATTTGTGCCTCTGATTTTATAAGTTCTCTACACTTTTTGGGGAGATTTAAGTCATCACATCTTAGTAGCTAGTTGCAGGGTCAAGCAACATGGTAAGGATTGAATAGATAAAAATGCAGTATTTAATAGCTTGCCTCAGTCAAAGAATTAATTACTTTCAGTATATTATTCCCAATGACACTGGTACTCCATTAGTAATTCTGCAAGTTGATTTTTGTTTGTAAGAATACATGATCATGTATATATATACAATATATATACATTGTATACACCTTTGTATATAATGTCAAAATAGATGCAGTAGCAAAACCTTATGAAAAAGAAGAAACAGACCACAGGATGTTATTCATAATTTTTAAAGCTCAAGCACATGGTGATTTCTATACTTGCAGATACTTTTTGTCAAGAAAACAAATTTCAGACTCTTCTGGTTCCAAATGATTTTTTAAAGTGATGATCTAAAGTAATTTGGCAATGTTTGCATTGCACCAGGTAAATGCCCTGTTCAGTATAATAGAGGAAAAGCTTTAGAAAGTGTCTCTTAATTTAACAACAAAAAAAGAGTTTTATGGTTGGCTGAACTAACAGACTTTTGGCCAAAAGTCACACAGATCAGTCACCTGCATGAGCATCAACCTCAAACATGGCTAAGCCAAAATGAGGGGAAGTGATTTCGGTTTAGAGTCATCTGTCACAAATTCACTGCTCAGTTCTATTCCAACAGAGCATTTTTAACTGGATGGCAGACATTTAAACTATAAAATCTAAATCTGTTCTAATATTCATGTCATCTGCCCTTTAAAAGTTCTTGGCTATTTGAAACCAGAAGCTGGAACAGGTCACCTTTTGGCAGGAGCAAAGAACAGAACAAACAAAGGTGTTTTCATTCAGCTCTCTCTTGGCCTTTCTTAAAAATGGAGTATTGTGGGCTGGTGTCTATTTAAACAAAAAACAGTGACTTTAATCTCTGTCCCTCACCAACCTGTCTCTGCTTTATTTTTAATGGCAGTAGTGTGAAACATCTGTAATTAGAAAAGGATTATTGCATACAAATCCTGTAAAGCTCTTTCAACACCCTGTCCCAGCACTGTGACCAGTTGTCCTCTATTGCCTGTTACAGAGGGACTGGAAACATCAGCACAGGAATGGTTTGCAGTTCCCTGTGTAAGTCAGAATAAACTCTCTTTTAATATTGATTTACTGTTACTCTCACTTGTTTTTAAGGAGGAATTATATCTTTCTTCTCACTGTTCTCTTTTTTCCTGCTGCAGGATACTGATGGCATCAGCATTAGCATTTGCTGTGTACAAAGTCCACTATTAATATCGTACTCGTTAGGCAGAAGTCATTAATTATTGTTACTGTAAAATGTAAGGAGCAGAGGCTTGGATTCAGAGCAAAAAGGGTGGCTAAGTGCTACTTGCAATGCCAGCCACAGGGATAACTGGAAGAGAATGCTGGTTGTGTCAGCTTGGGAAGAGCTCCCCAAATTGAGTGTCCCACAGAGATGAGCAACAAGGGTGTGCTCAGGGGGTCATCTGAGACTGGTCAGCAGAAAGGGAAGAAAATCTATCTTTGGAAGATGGGATTTGGACTAAACCTCTCATGTCAAGTTTCCAAAGCTGAAATAGAATCTTCCAATAAATTCAGGGATCACCCCAAGTTCATATGACAGACTGTGCTACGGTTGCTTGTCGGTTCAAAGCAGATCTGAATCCCACTCCAAAGTACCACTCCTGGGTGCTACAGTTCATTGGATCCAGAGGTGTTCTGATCAGACAACAAAAAAATGCAGAATAAGAGGAATGGCTTGAGGCCACATTTGACTAGCCAGACACATTTTTATTTATTTTATATTTATATTACTATTTTCTGTTCATTTCTTTTTGTTGAAGCTAGTGGAGTAGCACTGCAGTTCTTTGATGGTATAGAGGTAATTATGCTTCGATTCTTTCCATCTGAAAGGTTCTTCTCTGGCCAATGGAAGCTTGAATCTGCACAGCACTGTGAAAAGGAAACTAGATGGGGAGAAGGATTATGTCTTCGATAAGAGACTGAGATACAGCGTGAGACAAAACGAAAGTAACTGCCGGTTCAGGGACATTGTGGTCCGAAAAGAAGAGGGTTTCACACATATTTTGCTGTCAAGTCAGACTTCAGAGAACAATGCACTGACCCCAGAGGTAAGTGTGCAGCCCTAAAAGCCAAAGAAAGCCACCCTAAAGTGTGGGGTTATCTTGGAAACACTGCACTTGAACTCGATTTTAGGTACTTGCTTCCCTAATTGATGATCTTAGAAAAACAAATGCAGAGTTCAGACATATCTACGTTTGTCACACTTGGGATTCCTATTACAAAGAATGCAATGGAAATTAAATTTTAATTCACATGTCTGAAAACGAAAATTAAAAGTAAAGAATGGCAGAATCAGTATCTCCAGCGTGGAGTTATGTGAAGCAGCTTTTCACATGTTGAAATTACTGATATTTCCTATCCTTAGGAGAAATCTGGTCTTTTCCATTTCACTAATTGAAATAGTGCTCCAGTTGTTGCATACAGAGAGTTTCAGGCCATATCCTGAGACAGTCGTTCTAAATTCTGCCTTGATCCCTAATTACTTTTTCTCTGAATTGCTGTAGGAGTCCTTATGGATGGAATCTTAACCAACTAGGGGCTCAGTCCTCAGCTGAACTGCATAAAGTCTTACAACATATAAAAGATATTAAAGAATTCCCTTCTTCCAAACATTATACACTTAAGGTCAGACTCAGACTCGTAGATTGTACTCTCCCAGTACACACATGGATCACTGGAAGGGCTGAGCAGCTTTTCCTGTCATTCCCTGTGATCCCAGAGTAGCGAGCCATGGTGCCCTGGTGTGCCATCCCCATGGCAGAAGAAAAGGGGTGTCCATAAATGCCTGTGTCAGGATGTATGTCCTGGAGAGAAGGGAACATGCCTGAGTCCTGTTCCCCATGGGCAGTAATGAGCATAGGAGGTATCAGTTTGAGCACCTGAGGGAAGAGGAGTTTGTAGCTCTGAGGCATCATTTTATTCAGTCAGAAACTGATGGGTCCTAAATTTGACTGACCTTCCCAAAGGCACACATCCAAATGGACATTCATTTATTTAACTATTTAGTATCATTCAGTAATACACTGAATGATATTAAATAGTTCACACTGATGGTACATACATTTATCACTCCTAGTTCTCAAACTAAGTAATATTTAGAAGGACTATCTTGGTCATTATCACAGAACACCAAACACTTGCTTTTAATACTAATTCCTTAAAATGCATTAGATGGCATCAAATCCATCATTCCATCCCTGTCTTAATTACCACTAATTGACACTGCAGGGCCTGAAAAAGTATGAAATCAAGGGCTGTGTTCAGGCTGACCAGACATACCTTTACATTGCTGGCTGTGCTGTTCCACATCAGCAGTGCTCAAATGCTCTAACCAGGGGATTAATTCAGGCTCTTCAGATCTGCCAAACCAATCCATTTCATCCTTTGAAAGTTTTCAATATGCTGGGAGCTCACCTGTGTGGAAGAATAAATGATAAGCATGTAATAGTCCTGTCCCTGCATCACGGCGTGGACTATTTCTAGACCCTTTACTGAAGCTCACTTGAAAACCACGAAATGCATTTTAGGGAACTGCATTACTGGCCAGGAGCTGGATGGGCAGGAATTAATCAAGGAGTTCTCCACATGGAGATTGCCTGTTTAAACCCCAGCCAGGCCCAGAGCAATCCCAGGCTCTTGCCCTCGGAAGGCTCGTGGCTCCAAACATGAAAAGGCTCCTTTGGCCTCAGTCCAGGCTGCTGCCCGGGATCATTCCCACCACAAAATCCAGCAGCTCCAGGACTGGCAACTCCATAGCCTTGCTGGCAACTACAGCAAAAATCCAAGGAACTGAAAGCAGGAATATGTTGATGCCTTGTCCCTGCAGTTTGTCACCCACAGCCACAGGTGGGACAAACTGACAGAGTGTTTTAGGGAGGCTGAGAACATTTTTGGGTTTGATGCCTTTTCTCACCAGTGAATAAAAAGTGCAAACACACAATTCCTACAAAATGAAGAAAGTGTGTCTCATTTTGGGTAAAGAAATGCAAACTTCCAGCTTTGTTAGACAGTCAGTAAATTATGTTTGCCAAATAGCAAATGAATTATTTACTCAGAGCAGCTCTACTTGATGTGGTTAAACAGTGCTCTGGTTATTCTTATCTATGTTAAGAAAAAAAGAAAAGGTGTGCACTGCAAACAATCATTTCAAAATTAAACTGATACAAAATCCCTCTCACTCCTCACCATGCCTTGTGCTTTATCATAATCTTCAGGTGAAGTTTAATAGTTGTGTTCAACCACTGGCCTTTGCTATTTATGCCAATTTAATTAAAATAACAAAGAACTTTTTTTTTTTTTTTAAAAAAGGAAAAAGAAAAATGAAAGCCTAGAGAAGTCTACCTGAACCCCTTCATCCCATGTTTTTGGTAACCCCATTTGTGCAGGTGATTTTAACATGAAATGTGCCAGTGCTCCTTCCAGCAGCTTTTGCACTGATTGAAGTTGGCTCAGTGCCACTCTAGTAATTGAGTTTTTTCTACCAAAAATGTTCAGGGCACTATAGAAATTCTTTCTTATTTTTTTACAAGACCTTATAAAACTTCCAAGGCAGTGTCATGAAACGGCACAGCTTGTTTTTATTTCAGTAGCTTAGACTTTCTACTTTTAAAATTCATTTTGAAAACCCATTTTTAAAATACATATGTGAAATGTCTCATCATTATAAATTCCATGAGGGCATTTTCTCTCCTGGGTCTTCTGGTGCTTCTGATGTTTGTTCTCCAGTGTTGCTGCTGCTGTTTTAACTCAGCACATCTCAAGGATCCAAATTCTGTTTCAGACTAAACGGACCCATCTGCTGGTTTTACTGAACACCATTAACAGAGCTGGGAGTTAATATTCCCTTGAATTCAAAGCAAAACATTCCCTAAACAGGCAGAATTCCCATTTGCAGACTGACAGAACTACCCCAAGTACCTCCTCAGACACAAGAAGCAGGTTTCACATTTCCAGCCATGGGAATTCAAGTTTGAAGCTGTACCAGGTGTATTTTGGAGCACTGCTTTGCCCTCACTTTTTCCTTACTTATAAGTTTTCCTAACTGGAAAATAATAAATAAAAGAGGCAGGTACAAGTTTATTGTTATGTTTATGGTTTTCTGTCTCACAAGAACAAATTGTGGGTTTGGGCTCTGCAGCTTTAGAGGTGCCCAAGTCCCTGAGGTACCAAGAGAAAGGACTGGGAATCTGCACAGTCAGTAACACAAAGTGTATTTATGTAAAAAGGCACAAGTGTAGGAGGTTCTAAAAACAACTGAATGGCTTTAAAACTTGGTTTTACTGTAATATTTACAGAGTATTTACCTTAAAGAATATCACAGTGAGTCCTCAGAGGTTCAGAGAAGTTAACTTTTTCAACTAATAATTCCTGTTTATGTGAACAAGAGACTTCTGTTCAAGATACTTTGTGTAATTACAGTGATAAATTCCCAGCTCTTTGATTTTCCCAATGTAAGCAAAGGGCACCAAGTGCCTTTTGAAATTTCCTACAACCAGTGAAAGGCATTAAAATAAGCTCTTAGAAGTTTAATGAAGTTTTTAACCATTTTATGTTTATTTTGCAATATAAGGTGTCCTGTTCAAGAACTAAGCAGTTTATTTTCTTGACAGGATTAAAAATATAAGCAACTGCTGAGAAGGTGATAATTTTATTATATATTTGGGTTTCAATAAAACAGTAAGTGAAGCACTAGGCCTGGTCTAAATTTATAATCCATTCAATTATCATTACCTAAATAACTGGCCCATAATGCTCTGTAAATACTTCCTCAGAAATTTTCATCAAATGCATTCAAATAGAAATACTGTCCCCAGAACTGAAAATTACCTAAAAGACCATAAAAAAGCTAATTAATAAAAGCATGGAACTGGAGAATACTGCTAAGGAGCTCTGGAAATAGTAGTATTAGATCTGGTCCACTAGAGAAAATAAAATTTAATTGGACAAATGCAACACTTATACCAAAATGGAGAAAGGTTTAAGGACTATGGAAGACAAAAAAGTATGGAATCTGACCAAGAAATGTAACTAAAGACACGTTGTATCTCTGTATTTGACAATGAATCCACCACTGCATTAAACAGAAATTTGTGCATAAAAAAATTTGTAGAGAGCAGTTCTGGACTAAAATGATATTTACTTTACAATACTGCAGTTTAATACCCAGTTCTGCAGCCCTGCAGACAAATGAGTTTTTTTATTGTTATTTGATTGTTAGTAGCTTTTGTGTAATCATAGAAACATCTGTAGGGAAATACTCCCAGCAGAGAATCCCTGAGGAAAGCCGTGGTGCTGCTGGAACCAGGCTGAGTGACAAGGTGACCAGGGGATTTTGGCACAACCAAAGGAATCATGGCATGGACCATGAGTGAGAACTGACTTGGCTGGCACTGCTGGATTCCACTGAGCCTCCCAGCACCTCAGCATGATAAAGTTAATGATAAACTTACAGCTTTTTATAAAAAAACATACTTTTTGGAGCCTGAAAATACCCATACGATAATGGGTTCCTGGTTTCTTCTGCTACAAACCAGTGGAGCAGTGGAACTAAATTTCCCCTCCTGCTCCAAACTACTGCCCAAAACCTTCCCATTTTCAACCATATCTGAGAAATGGATTCTCACTAATGGACTTTGAATGTCACTCACTCCACAACATTGAAAAACCAGCATACTTCTATCACTGTGGGTTAAGCTCTGCTCCAAAGTTTGGATGGCTTTTAGATGGCTTTAGCCACCCAAATGAGTGAGAGGTGAGAGAAAAAAGAGGCAGGTTTGTAATGGTAATTAATGATGTGTGTGGAGGGGGAGCACACATGCAAATACCACTGGAGGAAGGGCAACAGCAAAGAAATTTGCTGAATGGAGTGTCATGGCAGTATCTGATGTATGGGAAAATGTCTGACAGGTATTCCCTGATATCATTTATACATCCATCCTAGATTTTGAGTACTTTTAAAATAAATTAAGAGGGCAATCTTGCATTCATGTGGAACTAGGAAAATGAAAATACATCATCTTTTTTATTTTAACATCTACCACCTTCTAAAGTGTTAGGGGTTTTTTTTCCCTTTGTTTCCCCATTCTTTGTGCAGTGTTGCTGTGTTTCTCCCAGCTGAGGGCTGAGACTCTCACAATGAACAGTGCTCCTAAAATCGCTGGTGACATTTTTCTACCTGCAGAAGAATTTCAAATACACTTCCAAATTCTGCTGCTTTTAATTACTTCACTTCCACCCACTGTCACACACTCGCTATTACAGGCATTCTGAAGTGCACTTGTAGAAGTGAGGCATCTAAAAGTTCACCAGCTGCTCCCTCATGGCCCAGGCCCAGTAACACTCATTTTTACACAAACCCGTAGGGAAAGCAGCACAATCCAGGAGATTTCTAATAAAAGCCTACCTAGAATGGCATCAACAAAACAAAGGTGTTTAGGGACATTTCTTAAACAAGGTGCTTCAGAGAGCTGAAGAATCCTGGGAAACAGAAAGGAGTGAACAGAAATCATCACATGCTAAAAATCTTGGTTTTCTCTCGCATGGAACCTCTATTTAGATCTCCAGCCACATTTAGCTTTCTCTTACCTAAATTTACAGCAACAGCAAAAAAAGAAAAATTTGACTCAACAGGACCCACTCTGTAGGAAATATTCTGACACATGGGTGTGATTAACAGAGGAGGTGTCACATAATGAAATCTTGGCCCTGGCAGTGAGGAGCAACTCACTGAAAAGAAGAGGGGGCTGAAGGGAGTCCCAGCTCCCAAACCACCCTCAGTTGGGACCAAACAAGAAGTTACCCACCAGGAGTTGATGAAATAATATTTCCTTTTAAAAACCATTAGAAAACAATTCTCTGCTCAGGTGAAAGGCCATTTTTCTACAATACCAGCAGCTCAATTCTATACAGATTTTGATTCTGTTTGATTTATGGTGCAATTAATAACTTGATTCAGTTCTAAAACAGAGTCAAAATGTCTCTTTCAAGGGACTTTTTTGCTTGAACTTTCGTAGACTGTAACAATGTCACTGACCACAGAAAAATGAATAATATATTTGTTATGTTGATGTATATGATGTCCCCTTGTCCTGCTTTGCTCTGATTGAAGTCAGGTAAACCAAAGTAGAACTGAAAAGGGGTTTCTAGATTTTGCTGACAACGTGTTGAGGGGACTGACAGACTATTGCTGTGATAACCATGTTCCTGAGGATGCAGTGATGTACACTGAATGTACCCAGGGAAAAGAAAAAAGTGACATTTGAAGTTATTAAATTGCAATCAAATAGCATAAGCAGGCTAGAATTTCCCCTCCAACAAAGAACAGCCAAGTCCCAAAAACTCTCTGAGCGCCAACAAAGCCAAACTGCCAAACAGAAAATACTTTGCAAACTTTCAGTGTTATCACTCTGAGTCTA